TGTGTGTGTGTGTGTCTGTGTGTGTGTGTGTCTGTGTGTGTGTGTGTGTGCTCATACCTGTGGGATCTGGGAGCGCCTGCCCTGGCGAACAGCCTCGAGTCAGGAGAGCTGAGCCAGAGCAAGCTGCCCGTACTGGTGCAGCTCCAGAGGGCAGTTCAGCATGTCTAGGCTCTGAACTGCTCTGGGACATCCTTACACCTCTGCATTTACTCTAGGTAAAGCTAAAGGCAATTAAGCTCACAACTTGAAAGCACTTCAATCAGATGATTGTGTGTGTGGGATGCACCAAGCGTAAGCACCTCTGTCCTTAGCCTTGTCTGAGCCTGTATCTCCTGTTCCAGAGAGATAGGGAGGCAGGGTGAGCCCAGGGCAAGGAGCTGAATGGGGCTAAACCCCATCCCTGCTGTAGGCTTGGAGCAGTGAGTTGAGGTATTCCATATATACCCAGGTCCACAGTCTGTGGCATGAACAGAGCCTGCCTAGTGTCTCAGCCCATTGAATTTGAAGCAGTCTTGGGATCCCTTGTTCCTAGCTGGGGGTAGCAGCATGTCTGACTGACAGGCTGAGCAGCAGGAGTTTCACACTCCCATCCGGGTGACCTTTCTTTGTCTGGATATTCTGTCCCAGTGAGCAAGAGCAGATCCTGTGTGCTGGCCCTGCTGCCCAAATGCTCTGCCAGATTCTTTAGGACTGGACGCAGCTTTGCTTGCTGCTTGGGAGCAGTGAGCGGCTGGAGGTGAACGTGTGCCCTCCTGTGGCCGGCTGCTGGGAAATCCCATCCCACGGGCTTCCCACAGCTCATTCATGTGGCTCAGCTGAGCTAAGAGCATGCTGGCAAGCCTTCTCCTGGCTTGAAGGGATGTTATTGCTGTGAGCACCCTGCAAAGAGCCGTCCCTGCCAGCTGCTCCTGACTGAGCAGGTCCCAGGCAAGGCTGCCCTGCAGCAGGGCTGGCTACGTTGCCTCCTTCCCAGATCTCTCCTTGGGGCCAAATGGTGACTGGGAAGTGGGACCATGAGCAGGGCTGCACCAAGCAGAGAGACAGTGCTGCCTGAGCCCAGTGCTGGCACCAAAGCTGATGTCTTGCGGACTTGTGCTGGCTTGCAGCACTCAGCTGCAGCCTGGGAGGCCTTTATTCCCAGGTTGTTGTTCTAACAAATGTAATTTGGTGAAGCACTGATGCAGGTTGCACAGAGAGCTGGTGGTGCCCTGTCCCTGGAGATGCTCGGGGTCAGGCTGGAGCCGCCTGATGGAGCTGTAGGCGTCCCTGTTCGTTGCAGGGCAGCCGGACCAGATGATCTTGAAAGGTCTCTTCCAACACAAGTGATTCCGTGCCTCCGCTCGGGGCTCCGGTGGAGTTGCCATTAGCTCTTCTCCCCTGACCAGCAAGAGCTGCACGGCGTAAAGAGGTGTAGCAAGAAGGCAGCCTTGCGCCGCGTCGGCCCTGACTGTCCGCTCTCTCCTCCCCGCAGTGTTCAGCCTGCAGGACCTGTGCTGCCGCGCCATCGTTTCCTGCACCCCCGTGCACCTCATCGACAAGCTGCCGCTGCCCGTCACCATCAAGAGCCACCTGAAATCCTTCTCCATGGCCAACGGGATGAACGCGGTGATGATGCACGGCCGCTCCTACTCCCTGGCCAGCAGCGGGGGAGGCAGCAGCAGCAAAGGCAACAGCCTGAAGAGATCCAAATCCATTCGGCCGCCCCAGAGCCCCCCCCCAGAACTGCTCACGCAACAACTGCAAGATCTCTTAGCAGGACGGGCGCCGTGAGCTCCGTGTGCTCCCGCACGCCCATGTACAGATGTTTGCACTCTGCACCCTTTGCAAGGATCCTTTAGGATGGGCCTCGGCTGCTTTCCCCGCGCTGCACGCAGGCATCAGGGATGTGCTCTGCTTTGGCCCCGGGTGTGAAGCGTGCTGCCGGCTGCAGGAGGGAGAGGACTCTGCCAGGTGACCCTCTGGGAATGCTTTGGGCTTCACCTCTCGGCCTGGGGTGGAAAATTCAGCAGCTGCCGGGTTGGGGAAGGGGGGGGAAAAGGGGGGAAAAAAAGCTCATCCCGTTTTGATGGAGAAATGGATTTAATGGCAGATTGAGTGGCTTAAGGGAGTAGGCAAGGAGAATCTGTGCTGCGGCTTTAACTCTTGGAGTCCTGAGCGAATTGCTGGTGCAATAGTGGCTGTTGGATGTAGTTGAGGAATTAAAAAATAAAACTAAAAAAGAGAAGGGAGGGGGGGGAGAGGGAAATAAGTGACCGTTTTCACCAAGATGTTAACCTGCTGTTGCCAAAAAAAAAAAAGAAAGCTGAACTGAAAAAGGCAGGAGTTGGCCATGAGGAGGCTGAAGGAAGCAGTCTGCTTGCCTTCTGCCTTTCTTTATGTAAATATTATACATATATATATATATATATCACTTGTTTTGTAAGGTGTTTTTTTAAGAAGCAGTCAGGGAAAATTTTATGCAGCCATGTAAATAAAGCAGGGGATTAATTTAACCAGTGGCAGCCAGAGGGGCAAAGTGGAGGATGTGAAGATGAGAGTGCACAAATGCTTTGAGGGACTCTGACCCACCGCATGGGTCGATAGGAGGTTTTTTGAATGCTGCATATACAGAAGGAAGGAACCATCGGTGCATTCCATACCCCCCAAGCTGCTTTACTTTGATCATTCCATAAAGTGTGAGCGCCGGGGGCAGGCTGGGGTCGAAGCAGAGCTGAGGGGCAGAGCGGAGAGGCGGAGGTGTGGGGTTGATGCGAGGCAGCGGCGGCTCCAAGCCCCCCAGGTGCCTCATTCAGCACGGGGACGCAGAGCCAGCAGGGACCGAGGAGCCGAGTCCAGAGCAGAGGGAAGACGTGGACCGTCCTGCGTCAGTGCAAGTCTCGGCCATCCCTTCCGGAGCCCCACCTCCGCCGTGCCGCGCTCCGTGCGCTCCTGGATCCTCGCACTGCCGCCCCGCGTCGGCCCCGCGCCCTGGCCTCCTGCTCTGCTTTCCCGAAGGCATCCCGCCGAGCTCTGGCTCCTCCTGGATGAAGGTGGGAAGGGACCGAGCGGCTTTTCCTGCTGGAGCGTGAAGGAGCTGGAGCGGGGCTGCGTGTCCCGTGGGGGTGGTGCTCAGCTCAGGGCTGCGGCAGGAAACAGGAGGGAGCCCAGGGCTCAGCGGTGCGGGACTGCTGCGGTGCTTTGGAGGACGCGTGCTGCACTGAGATGTGCGCGGTGTGGGGGATGTCAAGCAAGGCTTCATCCCACGGCAGCGTCTTGTTTGTGCTGCCGGTTCACCTGGAGACTGAAATGCTGCCAGGCTGGGGGCTGGCAGCGTTACTGAGCGGTGCCAATGGATTCCCTGGGACAGCCACGCCGTGAGCACTGAGAGCCACCCGCGTGGAGCAGAGCAGCGCTGCTCTGTCCCGCAGCCAGCGGCTCTGGGCCCCTCTCGCACTGCGGGGCAGGATGACGCCGCAGCGCTGCTGCCGCGCTGCTGCCCCGCGGGGCACGCCCCCCCCCGCAAACCCCCCCCGGGGGCCGGGGGGGGGGGGTGTTCAGGGCTTGGCCCTGGCACGCTTTATTGCTCGGCTCAAATGAGCGAGGAGAGAATTCAAGCCCTTGCCGAGGCGAGGAGAAGAATCCTTTGTAGTGCTGATTTGGCTCGAGAGCAAAGCGGCGCCGATTTCGGCACGGAGGGATTTCCAGAACCTGTCTGAGACGGCCGGCACCTGTTCGCCATCACTTAACACAAGGCCGAAGACAATCGCTGGCTCTGCAGCCTGGCAGGCTGGGGACATACAGCCGACAGGTGCCGCACCGGCGCTGAGAGGGGCGCTCGTGGCCGCCTCCTGCCTGCAGGCACCCGGGATCCCTGCCTTCACACACCTCTGCTCGGTTCTGCTTCGGTCCCTGTGCCGCCTCCTGCTCCTTTTGCCCGAAGCTGATGTTCTTTTTGTTCCTGTAAGTCGAGAAGATCCCATTTGGAAGGAGAAGGGAAGATGGACCCGGAGTGTTTGTTCGGCCGTTTATTGTTATTGTTTTTTAATTTAAAAGGAAAAGAGGTTCTTGCATCTGATGTCAACACTAGTCTGTAGCTGCTCCCCACCACTTGTACCATTCCTGAGGGGTTTTTTTGGACTGTCCTTTTATTTTTGTATTCCTTTGTACAGTCAGTCAGTGTTGTTCAACTGATTATACATGGGTTTGTTTTGTATAAATTAAAGCCTTTTTTTGTTTTGAACTGCCAAGCAGGAGGTGCAGGAGTCGTATCTCTTTTGGGGGGAGATGCTGGGGAGGAGGAGGAGGACGAGGAGGAGGTTGTGTCCCAAGCTGGGCACGACCTGCTGAATCCTGACCCATGGAGCAGCTTTGATGGCCGCGGGGAGGCGGTGAGGCTGTGCAGCCCCCCGGCCATGGTGAGCCCCCCACCCTGTCCCGCTCTCAGCCCACCTCCCCATGACCTCCCTCTCCCCCTGCCCTCCCGCTGCCCCAGGATCAGATTTTCCACTTCGTACCAGACTGGCCACGCTTGTTTTAACAGCTTAATTTTATTATTGCTGAGTCGGGGGGGGGGGGGGGGGGGGGAAATCAGATAGCGGCTGCAGCCTGGAAAGCCCTGAGCACGGTAAAAGCCTGCCTGGGGAAGAGGCACGGAGAGCTTTTTGTTCTCCATGCTCCTCCTTCTCACTGCCCCACTTGGAAGCGGCTGTGTTGGCTTCAGGTGGGGGAAATGATGGTGGGAGCCATCCTTACTGCACCTCAGTGCGCAGAACGGGGGGTGCTGGAAAGGCAGAAGCTGTGACAGCACCTTCACGTGGAAAAGGTTTATCACATGGGGGAGGATCGCTGCTTCTGCCCTAAGGGCGGAGGGGGGCTGTGCCGGTGCCCCGGAGGATGGGTGCAGAGCTGGATGTACGACGGGGAACTCTGCAGCGTGTGCTCTGGGGACGGCACGGGGGGGTTCTCCACTGTGCGCATGGGGCTGAGCTGCAGGCCGCGGTGCCAACTCTCAGGTTGGGCTGCTCTGACGCAACCAAGTCCCTGTTTGCAAAATCCCATCCTGCCCGCCGCCGTCCCAGGGCAGCGTAACCTCTCCCGCGTGCTCAGGGCCGGCTCAGCACTACGCTTTATCTCCCCCGGCCGCATCCCGACCCTCCGCAGCGCCGTGTACCCGCTGGGGGGCTGCGGCTCCTCCTCGTGCCGCCCGAGCCGGCCCCGCTCGGCTCCCTGCCCGGGCAGCGGCTCCTGGCACGGCTCAGATGGACGGGAACCCAGGGGAGGGAGCGCGGCCGGGTTGTGCGCGGCTGTGCGGGTTTCGGTGCTCCTGGGGCTCCGGGCTGCGCTGGGACAAAGGCGAGGGGCCGCGGTCAGCAGCGCCGCAGGAGTTAACGCTCCCCCCCCCCCGCACCCAGGTCCGTCTCCAGCGGGGATTAGGGCAGTCTGGCTGGGAGCGGGGCCTGCTCCTGCCAGCTTAGGGCCGGCTTCGGAGGTGCTCTACGAGCGGAGGTGGGGTTGCAGTGTCCAGCCGCGGTCTGGCACGGCCAGGCGCTGCCTTCAGGCGCTCCGCCGCTCGGGGTGCACGGCAGGTCTCAAAGCCGGGCTGTAAATCATCGGCATTTGCTTGCTGGAGCGGGGACGGGGGCTGGCTACAAACCTGGCCGCTCGTGGGGCCCTGGACGGCCGGCAGGAGCTGAGGGAACGTGGGCCTGAGATGGGGGTCGTGGCCCCACGGCGCTGCCGAGACGCCCCGCGCTGCAGCAGGAGATGCTGCGGGGCCGGGGGCTGCGGCTGCCTCCCACCCGCAGGCCCGGGGCGGGCAACAGGCTCTGGCTGTTTTCTCATCCTGCAGGAATTCGGCTCCATGGGCCGGGCATTTTTTTCCCCTCCTTTCACTCTCTCCCTTTGGAGACTTTCCGCATTCTGCCTTTGATCTCCCCCCTGTGTTTGTCCAGCCGATCGGCTCAGACGGGGTTAGAGGCTGAGGTCAGCGCCTTTTCCATTCCAAACACCCAGAAACATCAGTGAGAAGGGAGGGGATTCAGATTACAACCTTCCCGTCCTCCCCTTCCAACCCTGCCCCACACGCACGCAGCGCCCGGACCCGCTGCCACTGCACGGCGAGCGCTGCCCGGCTGTGGGTGCCAAGGATGCGCTGAGCCCCCCCGGCACGGGGACATCGCAGCGGCCGAGGCGCTGCCGGGAGCCGCCGCTGCGACACGACGCAGTGCCCGGTGCCCTGAGAGCTCAGCGATGGAGCGAGGTGTGGGGCGGCATCTCCGGATAGACAGCTTGCACCCGGCGTGCTGAACCGCAGCGGTCTGGACATCACCTCGTCCTCCTCCTTTCTGTCTCCCGACTTTCCTTTCCGTCTCCTTCCCTCCGTCCAATGTGATCAGCCCCGAGCCTGGTGGCGAGGCGGGGGGGGGGGCACACAGATGCCTCGCAGGAGTTTCGATCGCCCAGGACCGCAGTCACGTCCTGGCGGGCAGCAGCTCGGTGTGGCTGAGCCCATGCGCTCGGCTCTGCTCCTGCTGCTGCCCTTGCTGGCGGCCGCCGCCGGGCTGAGCCTACAGCAGGCCAGGATGCGGCACCTGGGGGTGTGCCCCAACCAGCTGAACCCCAACCTGTGGGTGGACGCTCAGAGCACCTGCGAGAGGGAGTGCCAGGCAGACCAGGTGAGTGCTGGGAGCTATGGGGAGTCAGGGGCATGGCTGGGATGGGTTTGGGTGCTGCACCCGTGGGGGGGGGGTGGATGGGAGTGGTGAGCAGAGGGATGCTCTGGGCTGCGTTGGGATGGGAGTCCCACTGGCAGTGGCTGCAGTGCCCAGCAAAGTCAGCCTCTCTGCATCCTCACCCCAGGAGTGCGCAGAGCCCCAAGTGCTTCAAGCACCTCTACAGGCAGAGGTTCAGCTTGCATCCCTGCTGCATCAGCCCTGGCTGGAACACCCCCATCACACACCCCCAGTATGCTCCCACCCAGTTACTGAGGGATGCTGGCATGCTGGGGCTGCTCCCCCTGGCCACTCAATTTTCCCTGTGCAGAAGCACGATGCTGCCCATCTTCAGGGAGCAACTCCTCTGCAGCTCATCGCTGTAATGAGTTCTGCCTGACCTCAGCCTGTTGGAGCCCGCAGCCCCCGGGCCACAGCGCAGCACAGCCACAACGGCAGGAATGGCCCACATCCAGGCTGGGCACCTGTGGAAGCCCAAAGCCCTGTGCCACTGTGCCGTGGGGGCCATCACTGCTGCTCTTCACTCCCAGCCGTCAGCAGGGCTGAGGTGGAGCTGAGCGCTGAGTCAGCCTGGAAATGGTGGGGGGCTGGGAGGGAGCTCCGTGTGGCTGGGAGCATCCAGGTCAGGGTTAGGGTTGGTGTTGGGATCGGCACCGGGGTTAGCATGAGGGTTGGTTTTGGGGTGCTGACTGTCGTCCCCTCCCGGCCAGGACTGCGAGGGCTTTGAGAAGTGCTGCACCAACGTGTGCGGGCTGCGCAGCTGCGTGGCCGCGCGCTTTGCCGACGGCAGCCTGCTGGCACTGGAGCTGGGCCACGGGCCGTCCTGCGAGAGCTTCGTGTGCGCCCAGCAGGGCTCCGACTGCGACATCTGGGACGGGCAGCCGGTCTGCAAGTGCAAGGACCGCTGCGAGAAGGAGCCCAACTTCACCTGCGCCTCCGACGGCCTCACCTACTACAACAAGTGCTACATGGACGCCGAGGCCTGCCTGCGTGGCACGCGCCTCACCACCGTGCCGTGCAAGCACATCTTCACCTGGCCCGACACCAGCCCTGTGCCGCGCGAGACCACGGCCCGGCCCACTCCAGGAGCGGGCCCCGAGCCGCCGGTTCCTCCGGCGCTGTACAGCAACCCCTTCCACCAGTCGGTCCGCGCCGGTGGCACCGTCAGCTTCCGCTGTGACGTCAGCGGCCGCCCGCGGCCCGACATCACCTGGGAGAAGCAGAGCGAGCGCGCCGAGAACTTCATCATGCGGCCGGACCAGATGTACGGCAACGTGGTGGTCACCAACATCGGGCAGCTGGTCATCTACAACGCTCGCCACGAGGACGCCGGCATCTACACCTGCACGGCCCGCAACGCCGCGGGGCTGCTGCGCGCCGACTTCCCGCTGTCGGTGCTGAAGCGTGAACCCGGGGCGGCCCCGCGGCCCGGCAGCCCCCAGCCCTTCCCCAGTGCCGAGTGCCTGAAGGAGCCGGACCGGCGGCGCTGCGAGGCCATGGAGGTGCGCTGGCACTTCGATGCCAAGCAGGGCTCCTGCGTCACCTTCCGCTACGGCGGCTGCGGGGCCAACAGGAACCACTTTGAGACGTACGAGGAGTGCCGCGCCGCCTGCGTGGGCAGCGCCCGGCCCACCTGCCTGCTGCCCATGGTGCAGGGACCCTGCCAGAACTGGGAGCCGCGCTGGGCTTACAACTACATCCTCAAGCAGTGCCACTCCTTCGTCTACGGCGGCTGCGAGGGCAACAACAACAACTTCGACAGCAAGGAGACGTGCGAGGACGTGTGCCCCTTCCCCAAGAGCCTGCAGTGCAAGGCGTGCCGCCTGAAGAGCAAGATGGTGCTGAGCCTCTGCCGCAGCGACTTCGCCATCGTGGGGCGGCTGATGGAGATCGTGGAGGACCAGGACTCCGGCATCGCCCGCTTTGCCCTCGAGGATGTCCTCAAGGACGAGAAGATGGGCCTCAAGTTCTTCAATATCAAGTACCTGGAGGTGACGCTGATCGACATGGACTGGAGCTGCCCCTGCCCCAACATGACGGCCGAGGACGGGCCGCTCATCATCATGGGCGCCGTGCACGACGGCATGGCCACGCTGGATCCCGGCAGCTACGTACGGGCTGCCAACGACAAGAGGGTGAAGAAAATCTACGAGCTGATGGAGAAGAAAACCTGCGACCTCCTCAACCGCTTCCAGGATTAGGGCCGGGCCGTGTGGACACAGGCTGCAGAGCCCAGGGGACCCGTCTGAACCCACAGCTTTTACTGAGCTACGATCACCATTCTGCAGCTCCATCCCTGTAACTGCCACCCCGTGTACCCCCAGCCCAGACTGCAGCAATAAGGAGCCAGGTGGGGTTGCAGAGGAGTCTGCCCAGACCTCCCCACCCCGTGATACCCATCCCACAGCACTGAAGCCCTCAGCATCACCTGGTTCTGATGGACCCCAAACCATCACCCAGGCACTGTGGGTGCAGCACTGCACGTGTGACACTGCTCCTTTCCTGTGTGGCGTGACATGCCGTGCCCCCTCGCCACGAGGCGTGGTGTGTCACAGCCTGTGGAAGATGAGGCTCTTGGTGTTGGCCAGCGTGTCTGCCTGAAAGCACCTGCAGGCATGGGGGAGCATTGCCAGCACGAGGAGCGCCTCCTGGAGCCCAGCACCCACCGTCTCTCTGGTCTCCACCAGCTGTTGCAGCAGCACTGCGTCCCACAGACCACCAGCAGGGTTGCTGCGGGGGGAGGGGGGCTGGTCAGATAGATGGATGGACAGACGGATGGGTGGATGGAAGGATGTGCAGGCAGAAGCTTCATCCTCAGGGCTCCCTAGTGCTGCCCTGTCTCCCAGAGCTGCCCTCATCCTCCACTTTAGGACTCTTCTCAACTGCATGCTGTGGGCAGTGTGTGTAGGATGGGCAGCGCATGCGGGGTTGGAAGGATGGACGGACAGGGCCACCAGCACCTCCAGGCAGGCTGCTCAGACTCACAGGCCCCCATGTCCCTCCCCCTCCCTCGAGGCTCCAGCCTCGATTGAAGCCCACACAGCTCTGAGGGGAGATGTGGCCTCCTGCAGCCTACAGCTGCCAGGACATGAAGCCGGAGCTGCAGTCCAAGCCATGGCTGCCTGCTGCCCCCGAGTCCCTCTCCCCATCCCTGTTGCACAGAGGCCAAGCAAGAAGGGCCACAGCCCCTGAGGGGAACCTCTGCTCTGTGCCCTGCTCCTCCACAGTGCTTTGGGGGTGATGCAGGAGTGCTGCTCCCCAGCCCACGGCACCCTTTCTGGTCCTGGGGCACATGGCCAAAGCAGCCTCTATGCAGGGCTCATGGCACGCCCCGTATTGCTGATCCCTCCCCACTTGTGCCCACCTTTTTCCATTGCACAGTCTCTGCTTGGGGAACAGCCCCACATCAGCCCCAGGCAGGGAATGCTCCCACACCCAGAGCCTCAGCTGCCAGCAGCATCTCCCAGGTGGGATCTCTGATGTCTCATATGAGGCTGTGCTTGCAACACCACCATGGAGGGATGGCAGCTCAGCATTGCACAGGGCACCCCCAGCCCTGTCCCAGCGGGCTTCAGGATCCTCAGCCCCAAATATGGGGATACGGAGAGGGCCCTCAGCCTGCACACTGAACCTCTGCCCCAGCCCAGGGATGACTTTTATGGCGGGGCTCCTGTCGTGGTGATGAGGAAGGACACGGCTGTGCCTCACCACGGGCAGCTATTTCTGCCCCTCTGCACCAGGCTGCTCCAAGGGCAATATTTCTTGGTGAGGAATTCCTCCTCACTTAAGAGCCTGCGTTTATTTTTGTTTCATCAATGGAAACTGATCCCTTCCAGCTCGGTGCTGCAATCCATGGAATGGACATCTGGGTGCGACTCGGCCTGAGCACATCGTGCAGCAGCCGGGAGGGGAGCAGGGCAAGATGTAGGGCTGGGAGCAGGGCATGGTGCAGGACTGGGAGCAGGGCATGGTGCTGGGCTGCACTGCGCATCCCATGGAGCAGCACTGCCTTTGCACATGTGCTGTTAGTGAGAGGGCAGCCTCTGCTCTGCCATTCGGTGGGTGCTGCAGTGCTGACAGTCGTTCCGCAGCAGAGCGATGTGGCGCTATGTGAGAGCGGAATATTGTGGATTTGGATTTTTGTTTTTTTTTTTTTAATAAAAGTATCTAAGTGGAGAACCCAGGTAATTTGGCTGTCTGGTTTGCAGCAAGGGGCAGAATCCCAGAATCAGAATCCCAGAATGGTTTGGGTTGGAAGGGCCCTCACAGCCCACCTGATTCCATGCCACTGTTCCCTCCCCAGCTCAGGCTGCCCAGGGCCCATCCGTGACAGATGTCCCCTCCACAGATGCTCTGTGCAGCGGTGCCAGCACCTCTCCACCCTCTGAGTAAAAAATTTCCACCTTACATCCCATCTGAATCTCTCTTCTTTTACTTTAAAGCCATTCCCCCTCATCCTGTCACTGCCCCGTGGTCGGGCAAGCGGGGCGGAGGCACAGCGCAGCATTACAGCAGCCGCGCCAGGACCGGGGTGCCGCCTCTTCGTCGTGAGAGCCGCAGGGCCCAGGGCTCAGAATGGGGCGAAAAGCAGCGATTTGCTTTAAAAAAAAAAGAAAAAAGAAAAAAGAAAAAAGAAAAAAAAAGAAAAAAAGAAAAAAGAAAAAAGAAAAGGAATAGAAATTTAAAAAAGAATTAAAAAAAAAAGAAAAATAAAAAGTGAAAAATTGAAAAAGGAAAAGAAAAAATAAAAAAGAAAGGAAATATAGTTTAAAAAGTTAAAAAAAAAAAACTGTGCGCCGCCCGGGAATCGAACCCGGGTCGCAAGAATGGGAATCTTGCATGATACCACTACACCAGCGGCGCTCCTCCTGGGTACTGCTGCGCTCCCTTTGTAGCATCCCTGCCACATCTCGGCTGGGGAAACTGAGGCACGGCCACCTGAGCGGCGACGGCTGCAGGGTCACGGTCACACTGAAGCTCGGCCCCACCGCAGCCGGAGGAGCGGGGCTGTGCGCGGATCCGCCGGCACTGCCCGTCAGGCGCCGTATTCCTGGCCACGTGCGGACCTCCGCGCACCGCCCCGTCCGAAGGTCACAACGCGCGGGGCCGCCCGGTGCCGTTCGGGGCGCGTTGCCGCCGCCACAGCCGCTCGGGGACCGCTACGGTCCTTTCCCGAACGGAAGACCTCCTTGAGCGTCCCCCGAAGCGGAATGAGGGATGCTGGCACCTCCGCAGCCCCGCAACACGCGGTGCAGCGCCCCGGCTTTGCCGTGCCCCGGCACCTCCAGCTGTGCCCCCCGGCACGGCGCTGTGCGTCCCTCGTGTGCCCTCTGCGTGTCACCCGGCTCCTGCGTGCTCATCTCGAGCAAAGCTCCCTCCTGTCACAAGCCCGTTTCTGCGCCCTCCTCCGTCCTACACATCGCCCCACGTGTCACCATGGCCGCGCGCCCTCTGTCCCGCACTACGTCCTACACACCCCATGTGACACCACGTCCCACCAGGGGCAGAGGGTTGCCCCGCAAACCCCACAACCCCGCATCCCACGCGTTAACGATCCCCACGCTTCTCTCCCCTTCCATGCGTTCTCCCCCACGAGAGCGGCGCGGTCCCTTTAAGGCCGGGGGCGTGCCGCGGGCCCGGCCCGGCCCGTTAAAGGCCCGGCACGGGGCGCGGGGTGCACTCGGCCGGCGGGAGCGGCGGGGCCGTGCCGTGCGGTGCCGGAGGGGCCGCACGATGTACACGCTGACGCGCGGCCCCAGCAAGCTGGCCACGCAGCGCCGCACAGGTACCGAGTGTCGGGTGGGAGGGGGGGGGTCGGAGGGGAGCAGCACCGCGGGGCGCACGCTCCGCTCCGCTCCTCCCGGCCCTGACTCCTGCAACCTCCCCTCAACCCCCCCTGCAGGTCCTACGCAGCAGCCGGTGGAGAGCAAGGTGGGCGAGCCGCGGGGCCGGCTGCAGCCCGGAGCCTGGCCCCCAGCCAGGTGAGCCCCGCGCCGCGCCGTGACCTTGGGGAAAGGTGACCGCGGCCGCGCGGCTCCGGGGAGGGCCCCGGGGAGGGGACTGGCACCGCAACCGCCGCTCTGAGTCCGCCGAGGAGTCCGGAGGGGGGCGGAGGGGGTGGCCCTATTGCTATGCCCCCCCTTAACCCCCCCCGTCCAGGCCCCGTGCGGAGCCCTGCGGGCGCAGTCCCGCAGCGCAGCTGTGCGCCCTGCCGGGCCCCGAGGGCTGCGCGGAGCCCCGTATGTCCGTGTGTCCGTACGTCCATGTGTCCGTGTGCCCGTGTCCGTGCCCGCGGGCCGCACCCCCCCCCCCCCGCCCCCACCCTTGGAGTTGTGCAACCGCCGCAAAAGTTCAGGGGCGGCGGTGGGGCCGCATCGCGGAGTTCTACCCGTGTCAGCCCGTATCGCTGCGCTGTGCCCGGAGCCCCTCTGCTCGGCGCTGTATCTCCCTTCCCCCCCCCCCCCCCCCCCCCCCCCCAAGCACAGTCCGAGGGGCCAAAAGTCCGGGGGTCCCGGAAGCGGGGGGAGGGGGCCGTGTCCCTGTGCTGCGATGCTCCCTGTCCCCGATCCCAAAAGTCCGTGGACAAGGGACAGCGTTGACCCCTTTCCTCTGCCTTCAGGGAACAACCAAGAAATGCCTCCCCTGCCCCGCACCTCGCACATCAGCTGGAGCATCCCCCCCTCAGGGCAGCTGTGGAGGCAGCGTGGGGCTGGGGGCTCGGGGGTCACTGCCTGGCCCCGCACACCTCCCCCCCATGCTCCCGGGGCCTCTCAGACTTTGTCCTGTGAGCAGTGTGACTCCCGGACTCCTCCTGCTCCACAGCTGTGCCCGGGGCTCTGTGCTGACCCTTCACATGGATCCTGTTCCATGCCGATGGTTTCACTTCGTCCCGCTGCCCCGCGTGCCTTTTGGGCAGCAGCTTTCCTAGAGGGGTGTTGGGATGAGGCAGCCCCTGAGCTGCTCCCCTGGTGCACAGCTGTCCTCCGTTGCTTCCGTCGCATTGCTTTCGTGTTACCCCACAGCTCAGGCATTGCTTGTGCACCCGGCCTGTGTCCCACCCCCGTGCCTCAGTTTCCCTTGTGTTGGGCAGAGCTGTGCACCTGCAGCACAATGGCTCAGAGCTGTGCAGAGCAGCAGCAGCTGTGGGGTTCCCATGTAGCAGCTGTGACAGCTGCTGTGTCCCCAGCTGGGCAGCCCGCAGGGCAAGGTGGGGAGGGCAGAGCACTGTGCACCCTGATCTGCTTTTTTCCCTGTTATTTTTGGGCTGTCTTCCTGCTGCCTCCATCCAGAGCAGAGGTGGAGTCTGGAAAGTACATGTCTTTGCTTGGCTGTAGGGGCTGGGAACTGCCCAGTGTGGTGGCCTCCTTGGGGGCAACCTGGC